TCATTTTACCTACATCTTCTAGATAACTTGCTGCAGCTTCTCCATCAGCACTTGCTGCTTCACCTTGCACTTTTATATTACGGAGATGGCTTCATTCCCTAAACCTCATGAACCAATCTCTGCTAGTTTCAAACTTTTCCTCTGCAGCTTCCTCACCTCACTTCGTCTTCATTAAATTGAAGAGAGTTAGAGCCTTGCTCTGGATTAGGCTTTCACCTAAGACACTGTTGTGATTGGTTTGTCTTTCCAGACCACTAGAACATTCTCCATATCACAAAAGGCTGTTTCACTTTCTTATCATTCATGTGTTCACTGGAGTAGCACTTGAAATTTCCTTCAAGAACTTTCCCTTTGCATTCACAACTTGGCTGTTTGGTTCAGGAGGCCTAGTTTTTGGCATATCTCAGATTTTGACAGGTCTTCTTCACTAAGCTTAATCATTTCTAGCTTAAAGGGAGAGATGTGTGACTTTTCCTTTTACTTGCCACTTAGAGGCTATTGTAGAGTTATTAATTGGGCTGTGTTCAATATTGTTGTGTCTCAGGAAATACAGAGGCCTGAGGAGATAGAGAGAGACGGGGGAACAGCTGGTTGGTGGAGCAGTCAGCACACACACAACATTTATTGATTATCTTCACATTTTTGTATGGGTGTGGCTGTGGTACCCTAAAACAAATACAACAGCAACATCAAAGGTCACTGATCCCAGACCACCTTAACAGGTATAATAGTAATGAAGAACTTTGAAATATTGCAAGGATTACCAAAATGTGACCCCGAGACATGAAGTGAGCCCGTGCTGTTGGGAAAATGGTCCCAATAGTCTTGCTTGATGCAAAGTTGCCACAAACCTTCAATTTGTAAAATATGCGATAACTGCAAAGTACAATAAAATGTAGCACAATAAAACAAGATATGCCCATAGTTAAATTCTACAGATAACTATTCAGCATTATCTACTAAATCTGGTTGTATACCTGCCCCGTGATCCTATTCCTATAAATATCCAAAAGAAATGAGTGCTTTCTTCCATGGCAGGATAAGTGCAAGAATTTTCCTAGCAGCACTAGTTGTAATAGTTCCAAACTGGAAACTCCCCAGAGTCCATCCAGTAAAATGATGGATAAATGTCAAAAACATTATGCTGAGTGAGAGAGGCCATATTCAAAAGAATGTATATATATTCAAGAGCAGGCATGAATAGAATAGAAGTCACTCTTACAGGAGGTATTGACTGGAAGGGGGCATGAAAGAAGCTTCTGGAGTTCGAGAAATGCTTTATCTCTTGACTTGGGTGATAGTTGCTCAGAAGTAAACACTTGTAAATAGTCTTTGATATATACTTAAGATATGGGCACTTTACTGTATATCAGTGTGCTAGTCCATTTTTGCATCACTGTAATGGGACACCTGAGACCAGGTAATTTATAAAGAAAGAGGTTTAATTGGCTCACGGTTCTACAGGCTATACAGGAAGCATGGTGCTGGCATCTGCTTCTGGGAAGGCCTCAGGAAGCTGACAGTCATGGCAGAAGGTGAAGGGGGAGCAGGCATATCACATGGCCAGAGAGGGAGCGAGAGAGAGAGAGAGAAAGAAGGGGGAGGTCCCAGGCTCTTTTAAACAACCAGATCTCATATGAACTAACTGAGCGAGAACTTGCTCATCACCAAGGGGATGGTGCTAAGCCATTCGTGAAGGATGTGCCCCCATGATATAATCATCTCCCACCAGGCTCCCACTCCAATATTGGGGGTCACATTTCAACATGAGATTCAAAGGGGACAAACATCCAAACCACAGCAGTAAGTCAAACTCAATAAAAAGTAAATTACAATAAAAAGAAGAACCAATTATGATTATTGTCCCCAAGAAGTTTATAGCCTTCTAGTAGGTGTGATTGACATCGAGAACACAGAAGTATAGTTGAGAAAGGTAAGTGCTCATTAAAAGATGTATAAAGTGTCATGTCATGTGACCTCAAAGGTTGGAGCAACTCATTCTGCCTCTAAAAAATAAATAAATTCTTATTTATTAAGTCTCTAGTATATGCCAGGTGCTTTAAATTACCTCATACTCTTCTTACAGTATATGAAAGGAAATGTAACTGGGCTTTTGAGTGATACTTTTGAGTGTGGCAAAGTAATGAAAATAATTGTATCAGAATTGTGGAACCATTTATGATAAAACCCTTTTGTAACTGTGATTTGTTTCTGGAGGCTCCTGCAACAAATTAACATGAGCTTGGTGGCTTAATGCAAGAGAAATGTATTCTGTCAGGGTTCTGGAGGCCAGACTTCCAGACTCCAGCAGGTCTAGTCTTTGCCTTTGTTGTCATTTTGCTTCCTCTGCATGTCCTGTATTCTATGTATCTGTCTTATAAGGATTCTTGTGATGGCATTTAGGGCCTACCCAGATAATCTAGAATTATCTCCTCATCTCAAGGTCTTTAACTTAATCACACATGCAAGGACCCTTTCCCCAAATAAGCTGATGAGCACAGATTCTAGGGATTTGTGGTAGATATTGGTCTACCATGAATAGTTTAATAGATTAATAATATGAGCATGTTTATTTTAAAATGAGTACGTGTTTGCCAGGCGAAGAGGGAAGGGAAGCCTCTTACAGAGAAGAATTCCTGAAATGGGTTCCATGAGGATTATAATATATTTCGCTGTGTACTTGCTCTTGGCCTCAGACCTCTTGTTTATAGGAGTAACGTGTTCATGCATGCATGCAGGCACACATGTAGATTTGGTTTCAGCTGAATTTTGGACTAGTCTTCAATTTCCTGGAGCTCTCCTGAAGCCACCTTGTAGCCCACCATTTTCAAACCACAATATGCCTCTCCAAAGGAAATGTGTTTTGAACTACTATGTGTGTCCTGGACCTTGTTTAGCTACAATCCCTTTTCAAACAAAAGCACATTATGTATAACTGATAGAAGGGCAGCTGCCTTGGCTAAAGCCTGAAGCCCCCTTCCTCTCTCTTAATGTCCTAGTCCCTTCTCCAAAGTGCCCATTTGAAAACCATTATTGTCTTAGATCAGGGGTTGGCAAACATTTCCAGCCATGAGCCAGATAGTAAATATTTAGGGCTTTCCAGTTCATATAGTCTCTGTTGCAACTACTCAATTCTGCTGTTGTAGTACAAAAAGCAGCTATAAACAATACAAAAATGAATGGGCATGGCTGAGTTCCAGTAAAACTTTATGGACAGTGAACTTTGAATTTCATATACATTTCACATCATGAAATTTTTTTTTGATTTTTTTTCAACCATTTAAAGATGTAAAAACTATTCTTAGCTTGCGGGCTGTACAAAAACAGACAGTGGGCTGGATTCAGTCTGCAGGCTATAGTTTGCCAGTTCCTTTCTTGGGTAATGGCATCTGACCTGTGGAACTTTTAAGATTTAAAATCTCAGCACTTCAGGATTGGAAAGGGCCTCAAAGGCTACTAGTCCTTAGTTCCCACCATAACATCCGATTGCTATCCAGTGCTTCAGAGATTGTCATCCAATGCCTCCTTGGTTGCCTACAGCTGCAGGGAACACCACCTCCTGAGCCAGCTCACTCTGCAACCGCCAGGCTGTGCCGATTGCTAGAGTTCTTCCCATGCAGAGCAGCACCTGTCTCCAGTGACAGCATCTACAGGATACAGTCAGAACAGTGAAGCACAATATTAACACATCAGGTTAATTTCATGCTCTACTTGTCCTAGGCTGATATTAATGAAAATTAAATTTTGTGCTAATCAGCCTTAGCGTTCAGCATGCACGACACAAATTTGTGATTTCTGGCAAGGGTGGTTAAATCATATTTATGCTATTTGTGCGGTGCCCGAATAACAGGGAAATACTATTACTAACAATTAAACTTCCAGGTTGACAGATGTCCCCCTGAGCAGACATAGCTGAGTGCAAATGGATATTTTTTTCTTAGCAAGTTGAAGGCAGAAAGGACATGAACCAGGGAGCTGCAGTTAATTTTCAATTTCCTCCTTCCCTTTGGATGGCTCATTTTGGATGTTTGACCAATGCAAATGATTTTACTCTGTGCCCTGCTTCTGTTTCCTCCTTTTTTCTAGCTTTGAAAAGTAAAATTTCTATAAGCAAGATGGAATGTTTTTTTGTTTCCAGGAATCTCTGGGACACCTAAATAGCATTCTTCCTAGTTGCAGGTAGCTTATTGTGTGAGGGCAGTTGACTAGGAATTTAAAGAGGGGTGGTACTCCTTAGTGATTTGCAGAGCTGGAGAAATAAGAGTTGGAAGGGTGAAACTAGTCTGACTCCACGTGTATTTTCCTCTGCGAGAGAGAGATGCTTGCCCTACCTTGTGGTCACAGCATCTTGCGTTTTCTGTCTGCTTTCCTTGTGATTAGTCAGTTGCTAGCAGATGGGCTGTGCAAATGCAGTCTCATAGGTTTTATTTCCTGGAGAAGGGAAGAGCCACTCAGTCCCCTGGCTCCAGGTGGATCTCTCTCCACAGTCCCCCATGCTTCATCTTCATCCACAAAGAGGCACCAGGGGAATTGAAAGTCCGTGGGATCTTGGGCACATATTTTATCTAAGACCCACCAAGTATCCTCAGAGTCAGGCTCTTGCGGGGATCTTTCGCTCTGAAGAGGCGTGTGTTCTTCTGGTTACTAGGCCGCAGCATCAGTTCTGGGCATAGGGACAGGTAAGGCCTTACGTGTCTTCTGTCTGTAGGGTGACCAACTGTCCCAATTTGCCTGGAACTGAGGGGTTTTCTGGGATGTGGGACTTTTAGTGCTGAAACGGAAACAGTCCCAGGCTGAGTGAGACTGTTAGTAACCCAACCTGTAAGGACTGATGGGACAAGACAGGCGGTCCTAGGCCATGGTCTGGTAAGTTGCTAATGGTTCCCTAGGATGTTTTGGTAATTGCTTCCAGATTTTGGTGAATCCACCTCATGAGTCTCTCAGATCCCAGATCTGTTCCTTTCTTCTTAATTATCCATGTGCTCAATTCTCTCCCACAGGAGCTGAAGAATTCACATTTGGGCTGATGGGCCTGGGGTAGGGAAGACCAACAGACCACATGCTTCTTGTCTCTTCTACTCCCTGATCCTGTGATAGGCAGGGCTAAGTGATCGTCCGCTCCTCTCACCCTCCAGCCTCCAAGTGGGCCACTTTTCAAGCATGGAATTCTAGGTGGGTGCTTCCAATATCTATTGGCACAATAGATAATACTTATTTGCTGTCAGGCTGAGACATTGCTCCAGAAGCAGATATGACCCAAGGGACCATTGTAGATAGAAATCCATGTGCAGAAAGTAAGGCTTAGCCAGTGAAGTTCCTCAGGCATCAGGCCAGGCAGAGAGTCTGAGGATTGCAGAATCCAGGAGCTATATACGTAGGGTAAGGCTAGCTGAATCTGGATTGGCCTAGGACAGAGCCTGGTTTCCAGGAGGCTATTCATAGTGGATGCTGACCCTGCACAAAGAGGACATGTAAACTGGCTTCAAGGTGCTTGGTCAGGCAGGACATCTGGTATTAACTAGATTCGAGCCTATGCCCTTTCTTTCCTAGGTGCCCTGGCTAAGCAACCAGCCAAGGGGCAGCCAAACAAGCCCCTCTGCCCACTCCTCACTCTTCCTACTCTCACCTGAGTGGGTCCAGTCTCATGACAATAAAGGAATGATACTCACATGCATAGGATACTACTGTGGGTATGTCCAGGTCTGGAGCATGGGGGCGAGTCAGCCAGCTCAGACTGGTAAGGCAATACTGGTTGCTAAAAGAGTAAAGTGCTGTAACATTGGTTGGTTAAAGAGCCAGTACCCTGATCTCCTGGAGGTCCCCACCCCTCCCACTCCACCTGTTGCCTTGGCCACCTGCCCTTTCGTTCCAAGACTTGCTCTTTACCATCTAGCAATTGAAGGGGTCATGCCTGGCACAGAGGAAACTCCAGGACTCCTCTGTTGGTTCTGATTTAGAATATCAGCACTCCAGTACGATGTGCTGTTCCTAAAGCCCTGGTTGTAACTCTTCCTTTTTTCTCCTACCCAGGAAGGCACATCAGAATACCTGTGATGAGTATTAAATATTTCGTGTTTGTATATAGAGCCATTTTTACATTCAACCCTTTATTAATAGTAGCAAATAATAATATAAACTGACACATTTGTAGTGTTCTAGACGCTTAACATATGTTAACTTGTTTAATCCTCGTAGCAGCCCTATGAACTAAGTACTACTATTATACCCATTTTACAGATGAGGAGACTGAGTTATGGATAAGTTATCTAATTATGTAATTTGCCTAAGCTAACACTGTGAGTTAGCAATAAGTAGAAGTCTCCCAGGGCCCTCCCATGCCCACACAAAGCATGAAAAGCAATAGAATGTGGTCTTGTGCATGAGGACACGGAGACTCAGCAGGCCGTGGGTCAAGGTAACTAGAGCAGCCCTTTATGCGAACTAATGCCTAGAGACCAGGCAGGCCAGGACGGCTCTGTGGATGACAAGGGGACAGGTGATGATCAAGAACATATTCCCCCTCCCTCCTCCATGCATTGACAACCTCAAACAGAATAAAAGAAAACCACCACCACAAGGGATGAGAGGCAGTGAAACACCGGACTAAATAATATCTTATTAAATTGACCGAGATTAGATTTCTCCCAGGTGTTATACAAAAATCCAGAAGGTCACATTTCTTGCAACCATTTCTGCTTAACTTTCCTTTCTCTACTGGGTTCTGGGAAGTAAACTTCAGTCAGACTTGTCACCTGCCCAGGCTTTACCCAGGAAGTGAGCCTCAGTCTCATCTGTTCTCAAATGCCCAACTTATCCTGCTCTGGGGCCTGGCTGGACCAGGGGTTGGGGATGGACAGTGTGCAGGCTTCCTCCTCAGGGGTCTCCCTGCTCTTGGAGATCATTGCTTTGCTTGTCCCTCCTCCTCTCACAACAACACTTGCAATTCTTATTTCGTCTGGGGAGTGATAAGGAGCGGTTCAGACTGGTCACAGTTTCTTACAGGTCTGTTGTTTACAGCATCAACTTCATGCCCAGGTTGCTTCCAGGACTCAGGCATCTGAAGCTCAAAAGCCCAGGTCTTGGAGCTCAAGAGTCCGGAAAGGTTTTGCAGCCTTAAATACCAAGTGTTAAGCTCTACAACTCTGCTCTCTTCTGCTGTAATCACCCAGTCAGGAGGCAACAGGTGCCTCATGGTCCAGTTTAGCAGCTCCAAGGGAATAACAAGAGATACTGGAGGAAAATACATAACTTAATATCATCCAAGTACCCACTTATTTGCCATTCTCAGGTGAGTCAGCCTGGGCAATACTCCTGCCTACCAGCAATCTTTTCTGCTCCCTCAAGAAAATACCAGCACACCCTGTGGCTCAGTGATGCTTTTTAAGTCCCAATTTTATAGATTTTCTAAATAAAATAGCTAATACAGTCAACCCTTCATATTCATGGGTTCTGCACCCTCGAATTCGACCAACCAAGGATTGAAACTACTTGAAGGAAAAGAACAATAAAACAATAATAATAATACAAATAAAAGCCAGTAAAAATTTAACAACTATTTACGTAGCATTTACATTGTATTAGGTATTATAAATAATCTTGAGATAATTTAACGCATATGAGAGCATATGCATAGGTTATATGCAAATAGTATGTCATTTTATTTAAGGGAGTTAAGCGTCCACAGATATGGGTTTCTGCAGGGAGCCCTGGAACCCTGTGGATACCGAGGAACGATTGTATATTTTGAGAACTGAAGCCCAGTGCTGCCCTATTGTAGCTATGAAGTATCCAGGCCACTTGGAGAAAGCTGACACAAGAGCAGGCACACAGCACGAAGCTTTGATTCGCATCCTCTCTCTGGCTGCAGGCCTCAGCTCTTGTGCACCAACTCTGACCAATGACTACGACTGGCTGCTAGAAGTACAGCTGTAGTGAGAAGGATTCTGAGGCTGGGTCTTCACTCAGCAGCAAAGAAATGAAGTAATTGTTTAGTAATGCCTGATATAGGCCTGAGAATCGGGAAAAGGATAACCCTCCTGCCAGGTTTTTGCAGAACTTTCTCAAATTCATTTTCTTTAGAGATACAGTAAGGACCCACCCCCCCCCATCCCACCCCCACCCAAATGGGTAAAAAGCAAAGACTGGTTGCCATTTTTTTGTCAAAGCCTCAGATCACAGGGGCACCTGAGCCATTAGTATCCCAATGGCAGAGCAGGACAGGCTCAGGGATGTGTGTCTACAAATCTCTAGTTTTTTGTTTGCTAATTGTCTTCTTTAAACTGCTTACAGTTTCTCTTCTCTCACTCTCATTTCCACAGGAGGTGTAACACTGGACGAGCGGGCAACTGGCTCTTCAGGCTTGGAACCAACAGGGGGCAGCAGAGAGCAGAGAAGAATTGGTAGGCTTGGGCTGACCCAGACCTAGGAAAACTTCCAAACTTCTTTCCTCAAAACCGAATCCATGTGGACTCACTCTGGAGACTATTGTCCCCACAAGTGGTGTGGTCCGAGGGCACAGCAAGAAAGGATGGAGGGAGACTTTATTTGGGGTTCAGGTGGAGAAAAGCCTGTGCTGGATGCCAGGCTGCTCTGAGAACAGGAAGGCAGATAATAATGCTAACAGCAACAGTTACAATTACCCAGCCCCTGTAGGGTGCCAGGCCCTCTGTCAAGGTGCTTTCATTCTCTCAAAGACTGCTTGAGGTGGGGAAACTCCCAGTTTACAGATGAGAAAACAGGATCCCAGAGTGGTTAAATAGCTTGTCCATGATCACATGACTAAGGGAGGGGCAAACCACATTTTAGACCTGTTCTGCCCTCTGTGTTATGGTGCCCTTCCAGGAAGGAGGAAGAAAGGTGCACCTGGAGTTAGAACATCCTTGGGGGTGTCCTGGACCCAAGGGAAGGCAAATGGTCCTTCTGGTACCGACTACTGTCTCCTGATGGCCACGAGTCTCCTGCTAGATTTAGCTAGTTCACTGGCTCACAGGTCTATGCACCATCGTCGGCAGAGCCAGGGTAAGGTAGCTAGCCTCGAACAACACCAGAAAAAGGCAAAAAGAAAGATAACAGAAACTTGTATGGAACTTTCAAGTACTCACTACGGAAGTCATTGATTTATCTGCCTACTGTGAGAGGTAATTATGTCACACTGGAAGGTCACATTAGAACGCCCCTCACCTCCATTAGCCTCAGCTCTACCCTGGGCTCAGAGATCAATCCTGGCCTTATTTAGGGAAGCACATCCAAGCATATTTGAAACTTTTGGGATGGGCTTGGGGATATTGGCACCAGGGGCCTCTTGCTGTCAGTACCATCCTGATTCTAAGAACTCCACTAATGCCACATTCCTCAACCCAAGCCTGGATCTAGGACTCAGGGTGCTGCCCCATTAAATGCTTTATCTCTTGGGTCACTGCAGACCAGGGCCCTGCCTTCTTTAGCCAGTGCCTGTTTCCCTCATCTGGCAGTAGGACAGCAGTCTACCAAAAGAGTCACATGTTCACATCCCAGCTTAGGTCCAAGTTGTGAGCCAACTGCTTAATGTAATCACTTTTTTGGTATTGCTTTTTTTCTCTAAAAAATATGTATGTTTTCTGATCCTAAATATAATATTTTCTGAGCCAGGTGCAGTGGCACACACCTGAGCTACTCAAGGAAGCTGAGGCAGGAGGATCCCTTGAGCCTAGGAGTTTGAGGTTACAGTGAACTATGATTGGGTCACTGTACTCCAGCCTAGACAGCATACCAAGACCCCATCTCTTAAAAAATTGTTAGAAAATACATTAAAGCATAAAGGATAAAAAATTTCCTGTATCTTTCGTTCTGGATTCATTTTTCTCGACTGCACTTATTACTATCTAACACTGTCCTTTACTTAGGTTTTTATTGTCTCCTTCTCTAGAATGGGAGCTTGACAAGATGAGGGATTTCATGTTTTGTTCACTGCAAGTTCCTTAATTCCCAGAACAATACCTGGCACATTTACAGAATGAATGAATGAATTCATAATGCCATGACATCAGACGTAATTTTATTTAATATTACAGAGGGAGCATTTTTCAATGTCAGTAACTTTTTTTCAAAAGCATCATTTTAAATGGCTGATAATAATCTGGGGTATGGACATCCAAGCATGTCTTGGTATGCCTGCAGTTTTGGATACTGAAAGATTACACAGATTACTTTGATTCCCCATTTATCAAGCTACAGCAGGGCCAGGCTCACTTTGTTGTTTGATTTCTTAGTTTCTTGTTCCTGGTTGAATGAACAGATGAGACTGGTAAATTATGGAGAATTTCTGTCACTGCCATCTCTAGCCTCGGCATAGCACTGTAGCTCCTCTCTCCAAATTTCTGGGTGATCCAGCCAGCTGGGCTCTATGTGCTGAAGGATAGGCTGCCCGGTGTAAGCAGAATTGGTAACAGGATGCTGTTATGGTACCCACCTGTGTGGCCTTGGGTGTGGGGAACTTACCTTTGTTCCTGTCCTCCTCTAGAAAATCAGTTACATTTCTCTTGCCGTCCTCCCAAGGATGATTTCCTGGGAAGCAAATTAAAAAGCTGAGAAAAGCCTTTAAAAATTACTCAGAAATCTATCACGTCACCCTTTCACCTCCAGTTCAAGTTTAAGAACAGCCCTTTAAAGAAGAAAAAAGTAAGCACTAAAGTCAGGAACATTTTCAATCAGGCTCAAAGAATGCAGGAACTGTGGGGCCAGGTTTCATCTAAAATGCATTTTAGAGTTCACTTGGTGAGATATTCCCCTGAAAAAGCACAGGGACTTGATTCCCCAGCACTCTCCTTCCTCTGGATCTTTGCTCAAGCTGTTCTCTCTGGAGTGCCCTTCACCTCCATGTCTGCTTGATGAAGATTTGCTGCCTCTAGGACCCCTCTTCCAAGAAGCTTTCTGGAACCTTCTCCAAGTCAGAATTATGCTTTTTCTCAGACATTGCACATGGCTTTTGCCCTTCACTGCTGACTGCTTTGCATCAGGGTTCTTTTGGTCTTAGAGCTCTGTAGCTGATTTATTAAAGGTGTAGGCTGCCTACGATGGTGGTTTCCTGCCATGGCTGCACATTAGAACCACCTGGGGAGCCTTGACTCACCTGGCCAAGTGGAAACCAGCATCAGTATATTTCGAGAGCTCCCCAGGTTGTTCTAATGTGCAACCAGGAGGCAGAGCCGTGCACCGAGACCTCCTCCCATCTTATGCGTGGAATTTTTCTTGCATCTGTTCTTGCAACTCACAGGCCCCTTCCCCTCATGACCTGGAAGAAGAGATGAGTTTCCACTAAGACAAGACCTTAGCTCTGACTTGACGTTTTAAGCAGGAGGTGTAAAACCTAACTCACAATGTCCGCGGGGTCCTGAATTTCTGTTCCAACCCTTTCAGCCAACTGGCAGCTTGGACTGGAGTTAGTGACAGATGTCTTCTGAGCAGGACGTACAGGTAAGCATATGAGTCCACAAGCTGCCCAGAGAGCCAGGAAGCATCTTGCATCTAAAAGGCTTAGGGTTCATGCTTGCATATGGGCCCTATGAGATGAATATATTGAGCTGTTATGGGCTCAGTGAGCTCCTTCTAGGAATTCAGGGTCATTACATCACTGTAGATCAACAACAAATCTTTCAGCTTCCACAGCAAATGGGCATCTCTGTGTCTGTTGTAGGCTTGCTTAGTCCTAGGTCCTTGTTGAAGAAGTCACAGAACGTGGACTGGTGACATTTTGAGCATATCATTTCTCAGTTATTACCTTCTGTGGCTTCCTACAGCCTGAGCCAAAGAGCCTAAACCCCGCTTGAACCTGGCATTGAAGGCCTCCTACAAACAGAACCTCAACCTACCTTGTCCAGACCTAAAATGATTATTGGAGATCTCTTAGCCCAACAGTTGTTACCTGGGGTCCTTTGGGGGAGGGTGGATGGTGGCGGAAACATCCCTGACATTTTGTGCCAAATATGTATGCATTCTTTTCCCCAAGGAACACAAATCTATAACTTTCAAGTTACCAGAGGGATTTGTAATCCCCCAACCTGGGGGTTAAAGAATCACTGGTATCCTCTAAATCCTTTGTTTTACAGAGGAAGGAACTGAAGCCTGGAGAAGCAGTGGCTTGCCCAAGGTCACACAGAGCGGGTCTATAGCTGCAGGCCTCCAGGCATCCAGTTGCCCATACCAAGCACCCCTGCATCTGTCGCTGAAGTTCTCAGCTTCCTCAGTGATGTCTGCGGACTGATCATCAGAGCAGTGTGCTGCTGGGTCAGGGCCAGCAGGAGCCTCCACGGGCTTCGGGCCTCTGTGGCCTAGCCTGGATGACACAGGCTGTTCTGGCGTCTTCTCTCACCTGGTCCTTCTTGGGTCCCTGGGCATTTGTTCATGCAGTGGTCCATCGAAGTGGGACGATTTCCTCCAAGGAGACCCTTCTGGTCCAACTGTGGCATGGGTCTCATGCATGCATTTTCTCGCCTTTTTTTTTTTTTTTTTTTTTAGTAGGAGAAAAGGCATACAAATTTATTTAATATGTATACATGGAAGCCCTCACAATGAAGTCCCCGTGCATGTGTTTTCTAACACACTGTTTACCTTCTCTGTCCTTTGGCCTGTAATTCACCTTAATTTAGGAGGTCAGATAGGGCTTTCAGGTATTTTTTGTTTTTTAACTAAATACTTTTTTTTCTTAGTGTTTTGGACTTTATTAGGTTACCATCTTTTGATCACTAGGAATTTTAAAAACTTGATGTTTCATTCCATTTGCAACTCCAGTATCCATTGATGATAGTCACATTACAGACAGAAACACCAAGTCATAAAGTCCTGGTAACTGTCTTTGCTATACTATTTTGACGGTTAAATAATATAAGGCATACTAACATGTGATAAATGGGCACCAATTGAATGGTAACATTTTATTGTTGGTGTTATTGTGATGGGTTTAATTCCTGCAGAGATTTTGCAAACTCCTTGAGGTCAGGAATTATGCCTTAAACTTGCATTGCCCCAACTGCGAGCAGCACAACGCTGGGCATTTCAAAGCCCATAAATCACAGTGTGCCGATCTTAAACAGGCTTTACACCAGGTAAAGACTGGGGAGGAGACGCCTGGGAGAAAATTATGCAGGGAAGGATTTCAGCTGGTCAAACCCAGTGTTGTGTCTGCTCCAAAAAGAGTGTGAAAGAGCAACTTGTTGGCAAGTGGCCTTCCTTTGTGAGGGGCAGAGCTCATTTTTTCTCAGTCCCAGAGGCAAAATCAGACTTGGCTTAAGGCCGTACTGCTGGGCTGTGACTCTGTGTGATCTAAAGAGAGTGGGGAGCCAAAGTCCCAGTCAGGGCTGGCCCTCTGTGGCCACCAGCAGCCACCAGCTGTGCCTCCACTGTGATCCCCAGCATGGAGCCTTTGAACAGACCCTGAGTTATGTGGCATGTACAGTGGATGAGGCTGGAAGCCTGGACATCTGGTGATTTCTGACCTTGAGCCCGAGACCTAGGAGGCCTCTTCTCTATAGAGTCCAGAGGTAGGACCTATGGCCAGTGGCACTGACTCCTCACCTGTAGCCAGGACCAGGACCAGACTCCTTGGCTGTGCATTCAACATTCTAAAACATGCTTCTCTTTGCTCTCCTCTCTCTGGCCCATCTCCCTTGGGAGATGGGCACTGGGAGGACCCCACATTTATACCACATCCCTACCAGTTCTGTGCCCTCCAGCGCTCCTCACCATTTCCTGCTCCTTTTTGGAGACATTCCTCTCACTCTTCTCTGGGCCAAATCCACCCTTCTCTTCCAGTTCTTCCCACTAACTCTCTTACAAGCTTGACAGTTGTAAAGCAGGTCTGCGGGGAAGGTAAAGGTGAATTTGGGGTTAAACCTCCCTGTAACAATCATGGATTTTGGTGTCAGACACACTTGGGATCAAAATCCAGTTCTGCCACTCACTGCTGAGTGACCTGGGGCGGGAACTTCATCTTCTGTAGGCCCAGTTTTATCTGTAAAATCGTGGTAATAGCTGTCCCATGGTATTGTGGAGAGAATTAAGAGATGCTGAATATGAATAACATCTCAGGCCCGTAGCCAGTCCCTAGTAAATAGAAGCCATTCAAATGCCAAGCCTTCAGATCATGGGTGCTTCTCAAATGTCTACATGGCCAGGCCCCCAATCTGCTCGCGACACCCAAGGGTGAAGCATGTTATTGGCTTCCCGGGGTTTCCTGGTACGATATCATGGAGGCATCTGGGGATTGTGGTGTGATGCTCAGCCAAGAGGCTGCCCTCTGCACCCCCACTTCAGGGAGGTGGGGAAGGGGAGCAGTGTGTGTGGCAGAGATGGCATTGATTGAGAACTGGCATACCTGGCTTCCCTGCCAGTGCTGCCATGTTCCAGTGTCTAACCTGTAGATGTTGGCTGAATGCGAGGAAATTACATACTCTGTGAGCCTCAGTTCTCTGATCTACACAAAAGGGGAGTAGTACCTTTTGGGGTTGGTGTGGACACTGTATGAAGGAGCTGGAATACTGCAGCTATTAGGAGCCATATTTTAGAACCAAACTGCCTGGGTTCACATCCCAGCTCTGCAACTTACTGGCTCTACAGTTTTAAACAAGTTACATCACCTTTTAGTTAGACTTACTCTTCTA